CTGAACGGTGCAGACAAGCTGGCTCCTCTCTTGCAGTGGCCCATGTCAACTCTGGCCAGGGATGGTGTATGCATAGAGCCATGGCACAGCAGGTGCCAGGGTCTGGGAGTAGGACCCCTCACTGAAGCACTACTGAACAAACCAGCATCACACTACCACCACCTTGAGAAGTGCTGACAAGCAGCACAGAGCAGATGTGACCCCCTGAACACAGCAAGTCTGCCGTTCTCGGTTCAAGATCACACCACCGCCTGCGCTAGTGGTAACACAGAGCAGGGCAATGGTCAACAAGAACTGGCTGTGTCCCTGCGGCACACTCTGCTTGGGGAATGTATCCCATGCCATTCACTGCATTGTAGCCACCCAACCCGAAAGGGGCCGCTAGCTTGTGCAGTATGCCCATGGAGGTGTTCAACCCGGAGCGTGAAAGGTCAGAGCCCAGCTGCTGATGTGGTTAAGGCATGTCAGCTTCCACACCTGATGACACACGAGGCTCAGATGTGGCTGCATCACGTAGAAATGGGCTTCATCACCCAGCCTGCGGAACCAGGGCCTCCAGCACAGTCCAAAGCAGGACTCCAACTCACATCCCTGGAGCCAGAGCAAGGTACCATGCAGGAGGTCTCAATGCAAGGGCTGCAAACAAGGGGCTGGTGGCTGTGGCCACCCCATCTTCTGGCAGGGCATCTCAGGTTGCCAGCTAGTTGAGAAAGGATGTAAGGGCCAAGGAAGCTCCATCCCAGACCTGACTGAGAACGGCCATGGTCTGGAGATCCAGAAGAACCTTCCCCTCCGAGCCAGCTGCCGTCAATCTGCTCCCCGTGCAGCAAACATCACCGCAGCGAGGTAGCCGCTTGCAGGCGGCCTGTCCAGCGCGAGGGCTGGATTCCCACAGTGGCTGGTTGTGGCGCAGCCTTGCTGCTCTGGTGAGGTGGCTCCAACCCCACAGGCAATCCCCACCACACTTGCAACATATGCACAGACCCAGCTCACCTCCCCAGCTCCTGCTTGCTTGGTGGCCTCTGCCTTCCAGCTCTTTTCGTGGGCGTACAGCCTCTCGCTCTGCCCCTGCGCCAGCTGATCCAAGTGCGTCCTTTGGCTGCTGATAAATATTTAACACGCAGGCAATGACAGAATTCACAAAGGTTGAGTGTTTCATGTTTGCTCGGCAGTGGGCGCCAGGCCTGCTAGCATCGATTAGATAGCACTCCTACACAGCAGCAAGTCTGCGCTTGGAGTGCCACGGCCCATCTGCAACAGCAGCAGGCCCTTCTGGAGCAGGCTGTCTGCCCAGGGCTCAGAGCGCTTCAAAGCTTCAGCCAGCAGAAAGGAGGCACAAAGGGGCTGCGACTTCCCCCACGTGGTAGAGTTTGGAATAGAAGCCAGGAGTCCCAGCACCCGGCAGGGACAGCTGCAGAGAGGTGCCCTGGCTTGAGCATAGTCTAAAAGCTTCCTAGCAGGTCCTTGCGGGTAACAGGCCTCCAGGCTGGGGGAGGCAGTGCTACTTCCTATTACATGAATTGCTACAGTGCCTAGGAGCCCCAGCCTGCTGCTTCTGCTCTGGCCTCCCTCTGTGGCAGCCGGGAAGCAGGCAGCACGGCTGAGCGTGGGGCCTTTGGTCCGTGTCTCACCTCGTAAAAAAGCCATGACACCTAGGAATAGACAGCTGCAGCAGTTGGGCTGGCTCCCCTGGGTAAGGCATCCCCAGCAAGGTGCTGCTTTCTGAAGCCCACTCACCTGTAGGGAAGGAGGGCTCACTTCAGTATTTTGAGGGACTCGGCATTATTTATTGGCATGAAGGCTGCAGGGGGTGGCACTGATCCTGACTGCAAGGGCTGGACAACAGGTAACATAGGGGAGTGGTGGGGGCTTAATGCAGGCGGGAGACTGCATCAACAGCCAAAGAAACGCTGGTGAATGGCAGCCAGGCCGAGCTATCAAGCTCTCTGCAGCAGGGGCCCACGCTCCGTGTTCAGCTTATCTCTACCCGGCGTCTCAAGTCTGCTCACAATTCTGCGCTGTGTTAGCAGGTGCCCGGCTCCAAGGCATTTCATATCCCACCTTTCTTGGCACCACCAAGGGGGCAGACACTTGAAGGCAAAGGGCAGATGAATGACCTGCGCGGCTGCTGTCAGCAAGTGGCTTTGCAGATGGTCCCAGCACTGAGCTGTGTGCTCACGGCAGGTCTGAGTCAAGGTGGTTCCTCTGCGGGCTCTGCCTTCACCACTGCAACAAACCCCGTTGTGCTTACCTCGTGCTGTTACATTGTCTTCCTGTTGCAGAGCGCAGCAGAGCAGCAGCACAAGTACGCACACCCCTAGCTGTGCCTTGGCAAACACCTTTGGTTCCAGGACCTCCCTGCACTTTGACAGCACTGATTAATTAAGCCGCACGGTCCCATTTTAGAGACCGGGAAAACTGAGGCCCACTGTGTTTACTCATCAAGTTTAAACCAGAGCAGGCAATAGCGAACCCAGGTGACCTGACATCCTGGGTCTGCCGTTATGCCTGCCTCCTCTCCGACTGTGGCACATGCAGTGGAGAGGAGCCAGAATAGGGAGCAGGCCTGACTCTAGGCACCACAAGGAGTTGGGAGGCAGGAGGGGAAGAAAAATCCCCCTGTAACAGGAGCAGGAGTTCAGCCAGTGTAATTCCCTGGGTGGGCTCTCCCTAGCATTCAGCATTCCCCCCCATCATGACACCCGGCCTATGCCCTTCTCTTGTGAGGAGTGCTCAGCTGATTTTTATGCAGCAGGGTCAACCTGTGCTCTCCCGTGGGCAAACGCAGGCCAGTTACCTCCTGCTACTTCCCATTTAATCAGGGCCTGGAAAGATACTAACTTTCCTCTGCCAGGGGCACAGGGCTGTGGGCATGGGACAGGGTGCTGTGTTAACCTGGGGACCACACAGCAAGTAGAGCTCCTGCCAGTGCTGAGACCGGGACACGGGGATTCAGGGCCAAAACATCACGCCTTGACTGGCTTCTGAGGAAACACACACCAGGAAAGCTGTCAGTGCTCCAATACGCCGTGGGGCATCAGACTTCAAGGAAAGACCCCGGAGCCGAACGACCGTGTCATTTAATTTTTAACTTTTTTTTTCTTAAAGATGACTTCCCATTTACAGTAAGACAGTTCTAACAAATTCATTCCTTGTTCACAAAAAAGAAGAGAAATTATATTAAATAATTTCTGCCAATAAATAACATTTGTCACCATTTTTCTTTAAACATAACTAAAAAAAAAAAAAAAAAAGCAAGAAAAAAAAGGAGGCAGTCTCCAGGCAACGGGCATAGGATCCTTCAGCGGAGAACCTCACATCACCATCGCACCCAACACGCATTCCTAGGGGCTCTGCGGTTCTCGTGGCGTGAGGCAGGCCAGCCTCCAAGCGGCTCTGTTCAGAGAATCTAGCTAGGTAAGACATATCTGAGTGTTGCAGCGTGCTGAGAAGGGCCCTCCCCGTGGGTGTGCAGGATGTTATCACCATCAAAGGTTCTCCCTATACAAGGTGAACGCACCTTTGTTCCCAAAGCTTAAACAAAAAACCCATTGCTGACTCCCTCCTTGTTACATGCACCTTGCTATAACATGCAAAAAACCCCAGGCTGCTTGAGACAGCCATCCGGAGAAAGGAGTGAGTGCGAGCGCGCTGCCCCTACATGGCCAGAGTCGCATGGACTGACTGTGCTCCAGGGCTTAGGGCCTGCTTGGCTTTTTTTCCCCCTTTTTCTTTTTTTTCCTCCCTATTTTGGGTTTTTTGTTGGGTTTTTTTTTTTTGTTTTTTGTTTTTTTTGCAAAGTCTCCTTTGTTGAGCTTCTGCAGCTAGATGGCCCAGGAGGAATAGAGGAAGGGGGGCACTAGGTATTCACAATGCTTGGTACTGGGATGAGGGGAGCAAGGAAGCCCCTCCTGTTCTCACGCGGGCCTCTGAAGGGCAAGATCCCTCTTCCCCGCACAACAAATACTGGGGTGGTGGCCTAGCGCCATCCTGGGAACCAGTTCGGTTTTTTTTGGAGCTGTCCAGGCATTAAGGCCTGTGCAGTGGGGTTCTCTGCCTCCCTCAGGATACACTGGATGGAGGTAGAGGGCACCGCGAGGTCTAAATGCTTAATACTGAAAGTACAATGGAGACTCTTTGCACTTGGAAGCAGCAGCTCTCGCCTACTGCTCTGACCAAAAGTGGAGTCTCAACCTGCCCTGGTTCACCCTCTCGTGGGGGCTCTGTCATCACCTGTCCATACAGTCCCTGCCACTCGCTGTGTAACAGCACTGTGCTGCGCAGCAGCTAGCTAAACCCCAGCAGAGGGGAAGCCAGCACAGAGAGGGTTACAGGGATGAACATTAGTCAATCAAGGGGGTAATTAACACCCACTCTCCCCAATCTGTGCTGCTGCTCACCCCCTCACCCCATTAGGAACACTGCATGCTGTGCTGAAGGAACAGAGACCCTGGCACTGGCGTTCCCATGGAAACTGGAGACTGTGCTTTGCCTGACAGCATGCTAGCTGCATGTGCTTGTGTGGGATACAGAATACATTCCCAGCAGCTCTCAGATGGATACTAGAGAGGAGGGGAAAGGCCCAATAGCTCCTGCATGGGGAAGCCATGAGTCATCCACAGTGCTCCCGACGCCCACGGCCCACTGGGCTGGCGATTACTTTCCTCCCGTCTGTGACTAATGTGAGAGCAGGACTCCTGATCCCAGCTCAGCCCCACCGACTGACAGCAATGGGATGGCTCGGGACTCCTGTTGGAGGAGCATCCGCTAATTAACAGGCTGGGAGAGACCCCCTCTGGGTCAGCGTGCTGTCAAGTCACAAGCCAATCGGAATTGAGGAGGGCTCGTGGATCGGTGTCCCCCGATCGGTTGCATGGATAATTTTGGCAGGCGCACGGCTCCGGTAACTATGGTTTCACAGCTCCAAGGTTTGCAAACACCACTTAGCAATGTTATGATGAGCCTCTTGCTTTGAAATAGCAGCTAATCTTTTCCCTGGGGAGAAGAAAGGGCTAAAAGGCCCACAGCAGGAGCTGGCAGGGCCAAAAAGTGTGATCTGCTTGAAAAAAATCCATCTGCAGAGCCTCTGGCACAGGAGAGGTTTTGCGAAGAAATGACTTTGTCTTGTGAAAAGCCAGTACCAGAAGCCCAGAGTGCATGAACAAAACCACAGTCAGAGCTGGCACGCCATTAACTGAGGCAGAGTGAAGGGGGACAGAAATCACCACTGGCGGTAAGTTCCCAAGTGGCGATGAACAATGAGGTTAACAAATATCTTGGCAGTGTCTTCCTCTTCTCCCCAGTTTTAAGAGAGGGATCCCAGCTGCCTCAGCTCCCCCCTTCACTCCTGACCCCGAATGGGGTAGAGGCCACGTTGTGGGGCCTGGCACAGGGCTCACAGCCCAGAGTTGCTGAGCAGAGGCCGTCCAGCCCTGGCCAGCACCTCTGTGCCATCAGCCATCTTGGAAAGAAAGATGCAGTGCTTTAGCCCACTCATGCTTTGGGACAGATGCCATACAAAACAGGAGGTGCACAGACAGGAGCAATCAAGCCCTTGCCCCCCATGGGGTAGGAAACAGACAAGCCTTCTCAAAAAACACTCACATTTGCACAAAGCAGGGGGCGTGTGGAAAAAAAAAATGGAGGCAAGTGACTTCAAGTGTCCATCACTAAAACCCTGGTCTGCTTACACAGGCAGTTACCTAAAGAACCACTAAGGAGTCACCTTTGTGACGTGGAAGTAGGAAAGAGGTTAGAAGAGGTTTCTGCAAGGTTGATGCCTTCCCTGGGGGCTAGAAGACAAGCGGGTGGCCACAGCATGAAGGGAAGCCAGCAACATCAAGGGGCAGAAAACGGGCTGGCAAACATCCCTCTCTAGAAGGCTGAGTCTAAGGCTGCACACCTGCTACACTTGTTCAGCGGTGTTAGCATGTGGTTTAAACCAGAAGGGCAGTGGAAGGCGGCAAAGTGTGCTGCTTTGATGAAGCGTGACAGCGGCAGAAGAGGATCCAGCTACGGTGACAGGTCAGCCAAAGGCAGGGGAAGGGACCTTTGCACTCCTGAAAAATAAGAGAGCTTCCTGGGATTTTTACGGGTCTGTTCTGACACCTGTTTCAGTCCGAGTCTAAGTAAACTAACCCAGCGGGGTACTCTGCTTGCTGAGATTCCAGCTTTGCAGCATTTCACAATTGAGAGGCCAATCTCGGGAAATTCTCAGCTGTGCGCTGGTAACACACACTGAGCACCCTGCAATGAGATGCCTTTTTGTCCAACTTGCCGAAAGATCCACTCCACTAAGTGCCTTCAAAACCATTGCCCCACATCCACTGGGTTCCCCTACTCACTTACCCCCTCTACAAAGTCTCTCTCCCCATTGCAACCCCAGGGCACAGATGCTTCTGAGAACACAGCATTTCACAAGACCCTCTCTGCCATGACTGCTCACTTACAGGCCTGATTTCCGGTGGCACCAGTGGACACTGATCCTTCCCCCATGATAGCTATGTTACTGGCAGGATACCGTGGTGCCCGCCCTTCCTGTGGACAGATAAGCTCCTCCTTTCTGAAAGTCACTGCTGTCCCCTGGACAGTTCAGCTAACCACTGTAGAGCAGCAGTCTCACTTCTACTGGGTGCTTGGTACTCAAATGCATTATGCTTGGTCTACACACCTTCTGGTTGCTCTACTCTGTGGCAAACCCAGCAGCAAATACTGAGGGCCAGCAATTCCCTCGCACCCCATCTTTACACAGGGAGATCTGGCACAGCGAGTTTACTGCTTTCTCCCAGCCTCAGCCCCAAAAGCAGGCACATGAAGATGGCCTGGGAGACTACAATGAATTCCCTCTCCACATGCAAAGACAAATGTCCAAAGCCTTCAGCAAAAAACTTCCCTTTGTGAAACAACAGCCTGGCTCACCTCCCCCACCTCGACCCATGCACAAATTCCTGTTCAAAACAGATTCACGCCTGTCTGCCAACTGAACAATTAAGGAAGCCTCTTGGCATCATGCTTTTCCCTGTCAAGAGTGCTATGTCCCATCAGATCCACTGGGCACACTGTTGGTCTGCCTGGGCATAACAAAGCAATCCCCTCTGCACGTGTGCAAGAGGTGAAAGGAGAAGATACAACTGGGCTGGAACCCCAAAACGCTTCAAGAGGGACTGAGGGTATCTTTCAACTTCTCAAAGGAACGAAGATCTGCCATCAAATGGGCACAGATACTTGGCAGCAATGATGGAATTGCTAAAACCCATGGCATCAGACTGTATCTGTCTAGGAAATGCTGGCAGACCTGCACTCTTACAGAGTCAGAGCAACATCCGCTGCTCGCAGAGGGCACTCACAGGGGCTCTCCATAGTCCGACTTAACCATGCTAATGGAACCTGGAAAATTCAAGAATGGCTTGTGCTGTCTGACTGTGGCCTGTAAGAGGACTCTAGCCTAAGAGGTGCTGTGAAGTACACTCAGCCCAAGATCAGCAGAAGTCCACATAGGCACTGGCTTGGACTCTAGTCACAGCTCCAAACATCTGAGATTCCCTGAGAGCCGCAGTATGTCAATATGGTCAAGAAGCTACTATCGTGTGATGGGGGTAGAACACCTGCCTTAACAGTTAAGCCAACAGGGCTTTTTCATGCAGGCCTGGAAAAGTCTCTAGGAAATCTGCCATTTCTGGAAAGAGTTTCCTCTGCCCTAAGTGGAATTAGAAAGAGGGAGATTCCAGATGCATGATGCTCTCTGCAGAAGATTTAGATGCCAATCACATGTTGCTTATACTGTTTGGAACTATGCAGGTGCTTAGCAGCCCGGATTCCAGAAGACCAAAGCTTATGAAAGAAAGAACAGCTGGTAAAGGGAATAACTCCCCAAGCTTGCCTTTCTGGTCAGTCTCAGAGAGGGGTGGGGTTTTTTTGCTTTTTGTTTTGCTCCATTGAAATGAACGTGATCCTGCAGAAAACGGTGCTGGTACTGGAACATCGCACCTTTGTCCCTTAAAGATAATGCGAGACTCTTGCTGGAATCTCAGCTACCTACTTTGATGTCCCTTCTGATAAAAGTCCTCTAAAACAGTGGAGAGGGATGGATCTGAGCCAGTCGCACCATGCAACATGCCTTCCACGGAAACAAGTGTTAAAGCAGCAGATGCAGCTAGGCAGCGAGTTGGAGAAAGGAACAGCCAACTCTGGGAAGAAGATAGTTGCAAAACCATGTTAGAAAACGAAAGCCCCTGCTTTTGGAAAGCACAGGCCAATTTAAAACTGTACCAAAGTCAAAAGACCAAAGCGGCCTGGGACTCAGGGAGGGGGGGGA